ACAATAATAGGGAGGGGGATAGTTTAGGTGTGGTGAACGAGGAGAATAACATATATCTCCTTTAGGATGATGCTGTATAATCTGATGTCTGAGAATCACTGTTCAAGAAATTTTCAGAGAAGAGAGAAATATCCTTTAGTGGTGCATATGCAGATATGCTGGCAGATCACAGGAGAGTTAGGACTATTTACAGCAGCTGAAAATCTCTCTTGCTAAATGTTGTTGTCGTTTCATAATCAAGTGAATAGCAAAGAGCAGTCTGTAAATTTATGTGCAAACACCCATCTGTGCCAGAAGAAGAGGAAAGTAATTTCAGAGATGCAAATAAATCTGCCATGCAGCACCTGAACTGTATCAAATTACCAGCTATTGATACAGGAGTGGAAGATTTTGGGATTTTGCACAGAACATATAGAAGCATTCGGTGAAACATGTTCTTGTGTTGTAAATGCAGTTATATCCCTTGCTTTGTCAGGAAGATTATGAAGACTATTAACAGTGGTGTTTACAGCATTAGTTGAGGAAGCTAAGAGGTTTCTCTGTTAAATTCCCTTCTCTGCTAAGGGTTTAGCAAGATCACTTAGTCTTTCTGTACCCCTATTTTTCAGGTTAGAAATGCTGGTAACAGTGTAACATCGTGGATGTCAATAGGTTGTAATATATGGGATTGCACTAGGAATTGATTTTCTATTTAGTTCCAGCTAATATATTTTCTTTGTCAAACATTTATTATTCTAGCTGCGAGAATAGGTGTCATTAGGAATAGAAATTTACTGCACAATGCAGCTTAGCTTTTGGAAATGCCTCAAGTAATGATTTATGCTAAGTGGAATAAAAAAGTGGCCACCTAGTTTTGGTGGCCTTCCTGCCATGTAGACACCTCACTGCACATTGGGCAGTATGTTAAAGGTTGGTAAAGTCAGTATTTTAATTTCAAACAATTTTTGATCAATGAATTTGAATGCTGTTTGTGAAATGCTTGTCTGATGTTTCACACTGTTGTGGCTGCCTAAAAATTATTAAGAAGCAACCAAGCACAAAAATAAAACCTGTTAGGTTCTGTCCAAATTGCTGCTGGGATTAGTCCAGTGTAATGATTACTTCTGAAGTCTGGAATAATACCAGGGAAGCAAGCCTCACATATTCTTAAATATTTGTGATAGCCATAAACTTTTTCTAAATGTTTGCATCTCCTGCTTCACTTCTAAGGACTTTCTTTATTTTCTAAAAGCATGAGGCTTTCACCAAGTCTTTCACAGCAATACTTGGCATTTGAATGACACCTTTCACTTTCAAGATATTGTGCAGATATTAAACAGTTTTCCTTAAACTAAGGCAAGAACTGAGAACTGAGAAAAAAAAATAACTTGTTAATGGAAGTTTGGTGCATGTACCTTATGCCTTTGATAATCACACCGATTTCTGTTGCTGTTTTTCTAATAAGGGAACTAAACTGACCAAATCATGCTTTCACCACATCTGTTAAACTGGTTAGTAGCAAGCTCTGTTCCCTATTCCAGTATTTTATCCACACGCCATAGTAGTCCCTGAGTATAGTGCCTTTGTAACTTCAAAATGCATTCCCTACCCTGTGTAACCCAGGGTCCTGTTTGTGAAATGCACTGTCTGAAAGATACTGAACAGGAGTTTTCTGATGCTGGTGTGATCACAACATTGGTGGCAGCTCTAAAGTGGAAGTTAAATAATTGAAACTGATTTCCTTCATTATAAAATATTGACTGCCCCAATTCAAAAGTAGACTGAGTCAGCTGACTTGGAAAAAAAAGCCTTAATGACACAGGGAAAGCTCTTGGTTTTGTCCTATGGGATCCAAAAAAGGGCTTAACAGTGGATGCAGCAGGCAGCTAACTAAGTATATAAAATACGTGAAAGAACAGTGCATTAAGATGCACTTTGATAAGTTGTGGAGAAAAAAAAGAATCTGTTAGTGTTCAAGACTGTTAGATAAATGTCATTAAAATGTTGTAAGGTTACTGAGATTATTATTCTTTAATACTGCAGTAAAAGACACTAAAAATTATTTACAGCTCAGTGCTATGAAGAACTGCCCAAGCAACCCATGAATAAGCAGCCTCATCCAGATGAAAGTATATAGTCATACTAGCAAGTTCAGAAAGCTCACTAGCTCTGCTGAGCAACCTCTCCACTATCTGCATTATTGTGCTTGTGTTCTGGGGACATACCTCTAATTCATCACAGAGAGAGAAGCACTGTGACATGTCTTCTTGGTTTAGACCCTCTGGATCATTTGAATAACCCTGTTTCTATTAGACATCTCATTTTGGAAGAGTACTTGTCTGGTCCTGATCATGCTGATCCTTCTCTAGCTAAAATTACAGTGCTGATCTCTCAGAGAGGGCTATTAGGGGCTCTGTGCAAGGGTGGGTTTCTTGTTGGGCTGTGTTGCTTATGTCCTCTTCTCAACTCATAATATTCAGCAAAGGTGCTACTATTTTTTAACCTTTCTTCTGCTGCTCTCCCTCACAAGGGAGAACCTATCTAAGGTGTCTAATGTACCCCTTAGTGTGTTATCCTGGTGAAGAAGCTTGCATACTTGTGTCTCAGCTACACTTTGCTGAGAGGTGACCTTGACTGTGACGAAAGTTTCAGTGCTTGCAGATGGTATCCTGTAAGACTTGGATGTCATGGTCTAAAAACATGAAAGAGCAAATTAAAAAAGGCATCTTTTTGTGTCTTCTCTGCCCAGTTCCTTTACCAAACCAAAGGTCTGGCTGCATTCATTTTGTATCACTTCAGTTGATGCTCAACAGATGCAGAGGTGTTATTTTTATATGCATCTTCAAAACCAAGCACAAGCAGAACTGTGTGGTGTTCATCAGGTAGAAAATTAGAAATGACATGTCAGTTTCTTAAAGGGACTAGATTTTGCAATCCAAATTGCTGTCACAGCCTGAGGTGGTAGGGATGAGTGTGCCCAGGTCTCTCTATAGCCCAAAGTAGTCAACAATGCCTGAAGATGTCCATGTACTTATAGCTGGGCCAACAGCCAACCAACAAAAGTATGTTTTAAAAAGCCAGAAATCTTATCAAAGTTGTAAGTTCAAATACAGCTGTTACCAAGACCTGGCACTTAGTTTGAAATGTTTAGGAAAGATCACTGAAGTCAGCTCTCATGTCATTTTCATTTGCTAATGGAGTAATCAACATCTGTAGAGCATCAGCCACAAAGTCTTTCATTCAGTGAAAAGTGTGCTCAAAAAGTCTCTTGTCTGAGATCTATAATCTCATTTTAATTAGCAATGCACATGATTACTCCAATCAAAGCAAGTCAGTGGCAAACATTGCCATCTGTATTCATCATTAACATCAGCCAGCACGATGACAGACTCATTTTAAGTCAATATGTGGGCTCTGAGGTGCAGATGTCTGTTCAAGGACAAAGAATATTGTCCTACTTTCTACTCCTTAACTTTTGAAAGACAACTTTTATCTTACAACTTGCCAAATATGGAGCATTTCCAGGTTGGCATCAGGGAATGTTTTGCATCAGGGATGTGAGAATCTTGCTTATTCTCTGTAACAGAAGATATTGTCCCTTGTTTTGAGTGGCTTAATTTTGCCTGGAATCAGGATTGCATGATGTCTTGCCCAGTATCCAGCATGGCCAACTGTGTGGTTAGGGGTTTTGAGCTGTTGAGCAGCTTCCCTGGCAAGGTGCACAATTAATCAGTGAATTTCTGAGACTGTTCAATATGGTGCTAAAACTCTGACCGCTGCCTGCTGCCAAGGGCAATGCTCACAGGATGATGTGTGTCTGTGTTTGCACTGCCATCTTCCAGGGATCTAGTGTCATCAATTGGTCAAGAAGAGGTGTCTAATGGCACTTAACTGCTTCTGGATTTATGAGCTTCTTCATCAGATATCCTTACAGAAAGCTGTACTTGAGAAGCAGCAGATGACCTGGTACCAGTAACAGTCCTTTATGAATATAAATATTTAATAAGATATAGTCAGGTTTTTAAAATAACTTTTCCCCTGCTAAGCCATTAAATTTTTCCAAAGGGTACTTGCATTCCAAGAACATTACCAAAAAAGGCACAAGCATAAGTAAGATTATGGATTATGTAAAATTCAGCAGTCTTCATCCTCAGAGAAGGGAATTATCTGGGTATTTCTGAAGATGTTAGTACAAGACTTTAAACTCTTTAAAAGAAGACATATTTCAAATAGCATTTTTCCTCCTCCTGAACCAGACTTGCCATGTACAGTTGGTGCTTATGAGAGCTTTAAATTATTTTGGTTGCATAGTCACAATTCTGATAACTTCTTTTAAGGTTCTCCTCATTATGAGAAGTAGCTTTGAGTGTTTTATATCTACCCATAAAACTGCTACAGTCATTCTTTGTAATTACACGAGGATGCACAGCAATTAGTTACACCAAATCCCTCTCACAAAAGTGTTTGCCAGTGAAAAGATTGCCATGGTTTTCTTTCTGACAATGAAAGAGTAGGAATCATTGGTCAACTCTTGGGATTTTACTGTGTAACATTTCTGCAGCTAAGATTATGATCATATTATTTTCTCGACAGGAAATAAACATCAGTTCTTGACAGGCATGGTCTTTAAACAATATTTTACATGGGAAAAATATAGCCAAATCCCTTTTTTTCCTGTAAGAAACCAAGATCTGTATTTTCATCTAGATAACTTCAATGAGTGACCTGCACTTGGTCGGATTCATATGCAAGGTCTTACTCTCAAAAAGTGGGGTACGTCTACCCTGGTGTAGGTGCCAGGCAGAGGACTAGAAGGCATAGGCTGAAAATTGATATGAGATTTTACCATTCACTTTCTCTTACAGAAAAAAAAAAGGCTTCTGTAACGACTAACTTCACAGTGGAAAGAGATTTCCTCTGAGTAAGACCGTTCCATTTGGAAAATACGATTAATTGTTCAGAAGTAAACGTACCCAGACTGATCTAATCACCTGTCTTCATATCTTTATTTCCTTTCACAGAGCCATGTTTGACTATGACAAGAGCAAAGACAGTGGCCTCCCAAGCCAAGGACTCAGTTTCAAGTATGGAGACATCCTTCACGTTATCAACGCCTCAGATGATGAATGGTGGCAGGCTAGGAGGGTCACTCTGGAGGGGGACAGTGAGGAGATGGGAGTTATACCCAGCAAGAGGAGGTGAGTGCTGCCTTCTTCTTCTTCTTCGTCTTACCTCATTGCTCATTATCTTCAAGTAGTTCATTTGTTTTCCAAAGAACGGGTGCATCAATCTGAAAATCCGTACTGAGAGACTAGGGGAAGTAAAGGAAAATCCCACAGGTTTTCAAGAGATGGAAGGCACAATTTTTGGTGTGAGATTTAAAACATTCAGGCTGTTTATAACTGTACTGTAAAGAAACTCAGAAGGTGACTCAATTACTAGTGACTTCATAAAGAAAGGGGAGAAGAAGGAGATATCACCATCTACTAAAGACCTTTAGCCAAAAAAAATATATATTATAACCAGAATAACCAGAACCCGAGTCTGGGAATTCACTCTCAATTTGAAATGGAGCACATGTTTTAATGTCAGGGTGATTAACCGTTGCATCAAACTGCTGAAGGATGTAATGAGTGTCTTGACATTTTCAAATCAAGACTGTATGTCTTTCTTTTGAGAGGGTAATAGAATTAAACTTCTCAGCCTGTGTGATATAAAATATGGTGCTAAATCATATAATGGTCATCTTTGGCTTTGAAATCTGTTAATTTAATCTCCGCCTGCCTGGAAACTGATGGGTAATCAATATCACAGTAAATTTTTCATATCATGTAAATGAAGGAATTTTCATCTGCTCTCCAAGCTAAATCTGAATCTTTGTGTGTCTGTGATGGATTTGTGGTGACTGTCAAGAGAGAGAACAGATAACTGAATCTCTATCATTGTTTGTATTGTTTATTCCATCTAGATGCTTTTGTGAAATCAGCCACAAGTCTCTGATAATATCAGAACTAGCACACAAACCAGTATTACTTCCTGGCTCTGTTGATAGTTGCTATAGAAAGGTCATAAACTGAAAGGGTAGGAGGAAAATGAAATCTGTCAAAACATATTACATTTCTCTTTGCAGCAATGCCGTCATACTGAGTATAAACTTTCTATTCCTGGTTATTTCAGCTTTAGCACTAGTGTAAAAATTAACATGACCATTTTTTATAGTGGGGAAATGAATGCTTGATGCTCCCTTGAGCATCTGCTGCTGTTTCAAGAGAATTGGCTAAGGAACCAATAGAGTTTATGGTACTCGTTGTTCAAAATCATGTAAAAGCAAACTAAAAATCAAATACCTTTGTTGACATGAGCCCTGAAAGGACCTTAATTTCTCTAATGATCATGTTTGAATAGTATCCACACCTGGTTTTTCAGCAAAGAGCAATTTTGGAATTTGTATAATAGATAGAAATAAAAGGTTAGGTTATAAGTTTCAAGATGGAAAATAAGCCCATTAACCAGACTTAGTCTCTAGATATTGAAAAAGGAATACTTTCCTGCTATTCATTGCCACAGTAAATACTGCTGTAATTACATAATTGGACCATACATGGAAAGAGAGAGGAGTTTATTTAATGTTAAGAAAAGTATGTGCACAAAGCTCACTCCTGTGTGGTGCCTACTATGAAAAGGTGTAAAAAGCTGTCATATATAATAAAACAACTATGGAGGAAAAAAGGACAAAGAAAAGCAGCTAATTGAGATGTGGAATTGTATATCCTATAAAGTGGAAAAGAGTGTGTGCCTAAAGCTTATTGGTTACCCACACAGTGGTGTTTTCAAGGACAAAAGGTGGAGTTTCTCTAGTCAAGGTCAGACATATAATAGAGCCTAGGAATAAGATGTGACTTAGGAAACACTGGGAGAAAACAGAATTTTAAAAAAAAAAAAAGAAATAAAAAAGAAGACTATATGAAAATAGGTTGCTTAGCACCTAAAAATAAGAGTCTTGAATTTTAAAAGATGCAGGTATAGTTACCATGCTCTCCATTTGTCATCCTTATTCTTCACTAGTGAAGCTGAGGGGCCTGGAAAAATCTATGGCATCTGATTTCTGTCTGCATTAATGTAATGATACACCTGAGCTGGAGTGGGAGGAGGTTGCTGTTAGTTCATAAAAGGTTTCAGTTGTGCAAGGTTATTTTTTCCAAAGCACTGAAAAGTGAGTATTGTTTCCTTTCTGTGGATTCCGGATGATTGCTCGGCGCCTGAGACTGATGTGCTCTTGCCAGCATCTTCTGCAGTCATTCACACCACCCAAGGGGAGGATGAGCAATCACTGCACACAGGGCTGAGTTACAGAGAATAAAGCTAATCATACTAGCCAGATTGTGCTAATTCAGAGTTAAATTTCCTCTGCAGGTGTGGATTATTGACTGTAAAGGATTAATCTAAAACAGAGTAGTCCTGGGATTCATTTGACCAAATATAGGCAGTTACAGCATGGAAATCCTCATTTAAGCTTTTTGCTCCAAGATGCCATATAAGATGTCTCTTGTAATTTATATGAGATTATTTCTATAGGCATTGTTTTGTATATAAAATGCTATATCTAGCAGTAAAATATTGTGGTAGAAAGAAAGGAAGGAAGATAAGAACATCTATAGCTTGTTTGTTGGGCTTGTCCTGCAAGCCATTATGTTGTAAATTGAAGGATTTTATCTTTGTCTTAGGTTTATGTTTTTCAATCTCCAATTAATTTCTGTTCCTTTTTTTTTTTTTTTTTTAGGGTCTTAGGGGCTTCTGGGGGTTATGCTTGGAAGGGTTTTCTTTTGCATTTAGGTTCCTTTTTCTGCTTGTGGGATGCTATCCTGTAGTACTGTAGCTTTATTTTTTGCACTTCAGGTCAGTGAGAGGCTATACAGATCCAGATTAGTGCCACGTTGAGTCTTTTAGCTGTCTGCTTTACTTTTGTCCTACTTCCCTTAACGTATGTCCAGCAACAGCTAAGATACAATTCCTGAATTTCCCTTAAGTTAAATCATTATGGAATATCTCTGAAAAACCAGTGACCACTTCAATTATTAATTGATCAGCATTTCAGGCCAAATTTCTCTTGGTTCCACATTTGCCCAAGAGATTTATCCAAGCTATGTTTAAGGTGACAGCACAATTATATCAAGCAGGGTGTCTAAGGCGAGGGGACATAAGCACCATCCCTGTACCAATGTCTCAGGCAGCCTGCAGTTTTGCCTGGGCATTATTGTTATGTGTATGAAGTGCTCCCATATCATAAAAAATTGTTATTTATACTAGAATGACCAACCAAATTAGATTTACACTGGGTCTTTTTTACATTTGGATAGATAGATAGGTACAGATTAGAGTTTCCACACAGTCTGTGCTTTTGATCATGAGAGTTTTTATTTGCCTCATTTCCCTTCTTATTATCCATGCTAAAAAAACAATCAGCTTCCTATAAAAGGGCAGCAGCAAGCTGAGCAGCCCATGGCCAAGATTCCCTCCGTACGGCAACACTTGCATTAGTTAAAGGGAATGAATAAAATGCATGAAACCCATATGCACATGTAAGTGTATTTCATTCCTAAACAGATGCTCTAATTCAACAGTAAATAGATTTCATTTCCTGTAGCATTGATTTTACACCTCCAGCTCTTTTCAATTTTTCCTTGCTGAATCTCTGCACAGGGACAAGCTCCGACATTGCAAGCCCTCCACAACAGCAGCCTCCCACCTCACGAATGTCAAACCTCAGTATTTTCTGTGCTGTGTGTATATCTGCCTGACTTGAGTCCATGGGTCTGGAATGCAGCCTGAGATTTCAAACAGATTGCCCCAGAATGGCTGAGCATAAATTCTCACCACTTTTACTGCTGCTCCCTCTGCACAGCCAACAAGGATTTGGCCTTAAAACACTGAAATAATTACACTGATCTTTCTGTTGTCCTTCAGACGTGCAGTAACAAAGCTGCTGTCAGACTGGACATCATTCTAAGATACCCATTTTCAGGTAGTTTAAGTACATCTGACTGTCAAATGTTATGCAACTTGTATCTCTGTTATTACCATCTGTAATAATACCAGCCTGATACTTGTGTTCTCAAATAGACAACATTCTCCCCACAAGTACATGTAGCCATGCTCTCCTTTCAGAGCAAAGTGGGAGGAAAAGTACATAAAATCAATGTTTCACAAACATTTAAGGACAAGGAACAAGAGGTTTTCCCAGCACAGAAGTCCCTGTGGGTGAAAAGCCAGCTTAAATTTGTTGTTCTGCTCAGCTTGGCAGAAGGGCATGTTTATCCACTCAAATGATTTTTATTTTTAATGGTTTCCTATAAATTGTCTACCTTTCTAAATGTCAGTTAAAATTAACGTTTTAATCCTTAGATGATAAAACTTTTTAACATAGCATAATCAGGTAATGTTTGTCTAAAATAATTTATCTGTCTATGCTCACTAATCTAATTGGAAAAATTCAATATGGAATGAAATTTGAATGTATGTGTAGGTATAAACTTCTTCCTGTGCTCTTGCAATGATGTGAAACTTCTGTGCTGAAGGAAAACAGCTGTTGGCTTTTAAACAGAGTAAGGTTGTGCTACAATTTTATGAGAAGTCACTTCCTAATGTCATTAGGTCCACTCTGCATAAATATTGACCAGGTGCTGAGCTGCTTTCTATAAGCAAGCCACTGCAGATGGAGAGCCGAACCAGAGCATGTTCTCTCCTACTGAAAAATGCATGTTTGGTGCAAAAATGCTTCTTCAGGAATGCTCCAAAATAATTTTGAGAATGGGAATCTCTTCCCATGGTAAGCTCAGATCTCACATCTCACAGAGGATGGAAGCAATAAAAAGCTATGAACTGCAACTACATATTTGAACTGTAAATAGTGCATACATATTTTCACTTATCTTTCACTCGATAGGCAGGCAAAACAAATACAGTGCAGGTGACCAGGAAATGGTGAAGCAGGACAAGACATAGCAAGGTCTTTCAAGTATCCATTTTACATTACTTTCTTCTATTTGTTCACTCTCCTCACTACAGTACTCATGCTGGATTTGAAAACAACTTCGTCCTACAGAACACTTCAGTGCCAAATCTGTGCAAATTAGGCTACTGTTACCATTTTATTTCATTCTAGAAATGTTTGCAATTTGCATCTGTGTTCTACAACAGCGATGAACGCTGTTATTGAAGATTAAAGCATTTCTCACTTGGTATTTTACCTCACTGCTGTGAAGACTGATTAGTGCTGTTAGGAAGGCACTGACAAAACTCCCAGTGGTCCAGCAGTGCTTGATCACAGTTCATGTCTTTCTGAGTTACACTTGATTTTTTCTTGTTTGTAGCACTTATGAAGAACTGAAAGTCTCATTTTAAAAAATCTCACAGGCCCTTTTTAAATAGCTGTGTCTGCCCAGAAACACAAAAGCAGACAGACATTGCAGTGCAGTGAGTGTTGCATCCCATTAAGTTCCTCAGAAGAGTAAGAAGAGAACAGTATCCTAAAGAACTGAAATCTTGAACTTACTAGTGAGAGAACACTGAAGGTTGAAGTATATTTTCAATGCACTGCTCCACTTCCCTAGCTTTACATGGGAAGAAAAGTGAATCCTGACCATTTCTGAAATAAAAGGGTCCAAGAGGTATCTACCACCAGAAATGTTTTCAAGAGAAAGTATACATATATATATATACATATATATAGTGTATATATATATATATCTATATACATATATATATACATATATACAGAGTACACTCCAGCTGTCCCAGATCTCAGACGATTTTAGATAATTTCCCTGTGCACAGAAGTGTTTTTGCACACAGCTGCACTTGGAGAGTGGGTGGGAAGATGGAGGTGAAATCCCCATAAGTTGTGCTAGGGTGACACTGTCCCCACAGAGGACTCAGAGCTTCTCAGCTCCAGTCATGTTTGAATGCTGGATATAGGTTTCTCTGAACATTTCTTGAAACCTCTTTGAGTTTCAGTGACCACCCAGGCACTTTTGAAAACGGGACTGATCGATGAAGTTGTTTTGGAAACCATAGCCATGCTTTCCTTATCCCTTAGGAAAAAGGATATGTCTGCTCTATCAGGCAAATATATAATTAGAAAGGGTCATGGCAGCAATTTGTACATCAGGCAAGTCAGGGTTACAACTCTGGGCCCTGCAAACCTGGGAGATAGGAATCCTCCCCTTCATGTTTTGCACAACTCCCCATAATCCTGCTTAGTCCAGCAGTGGTTATAGAAAGCTGGTTACCATGTTAAGTGAAACATTTATTCCTTTAAAAGCTATTTCTTCAGCTGAGGGATCAAAATGTTCAAATGATGGTCAGCTGCTGTCAGCTAAACCAATGTAAGGAATTCCATATTCTGTTTAGACATTCACAGTATCAGCTGCTGCAAATAACCCTCTGGACCTAAACTCCTTTCTTCTTGGGGAAAAAAAAAGTCAAGTTTATTTTTCTTCAAATAAAAAAATTACAAACCTGCAAAAAAGTGGTAAAAGTGTTTGAATTAGTGTTCCTTTAAAAAGTGCCTTTTCTAAGAGCTGGATCAACAAATCTAAAAGAACAGAGATTCACCAGTTTAGTTCCCTTTTTAGCTCTCTCTATGGCAAAAATGTCCCAGTAGCTCAGATGAGAAATTCTAAGAACATCTTAGTTCACCTAAGTCCTGCACCCTGACTGTTTCAACAAAGACTAAACCTTTGGAGAGCCAAAGCTAAATTCCAAGAGTTCTCTGGAGCATGTAAAACTAAAGCTTGTCAGAAATTTAGGTTCATTCCTTCAGGAAAAATAGGTATATTCCTAACACCAGAGCAACTCACTGCCACAATGCAAATTCCAGACCAAAGACAAAGGCAGTAGAGCACCTGAGCTGAAGAACTTTAAGATTATATTATAGATTGGGCAAACCCATTTATTTTGTCCTTGCCTTTTTCTAACAGCTGACCCATTTTACTGACAGTTCAGGCAGCAACAGTAATGTAGTCAGCCTGACACAGAACATTTCTGCTTGTAATTTTACATTTCAGCTAAATTATAAGTAACTGAGAACAGTTTTCTTGTGGAAGGTGTCACTCAAATTCTAATGGGAGGCAACACTGTGTGCTACTGTATTGTGTGATACAGTGCCAGATGATGAAATATTTGGCACATTCTGTAGGCATACTGAGCATATATGGACATTGTTATGTTTGCCTGAAGGACTAATGGCACTTAATGGCATTACTTAAATACTTCTCAATGCAGAATGTTTCTGCAGCTCCTCATCTGTCTAGAGTCTGTCTCTAGAAAGCAGTGATGCCTCCATGGCTACTAATGCAATTATGACAAACTTCATAAATAAGATTCACTCTTTAGGGTTAATTTCCAAATTTCTTTATGCAGTGAATAAGAAATTAAGTTAAAAGCAGATGTAGGAAGTCAGGCAGGGCTGGAATGAGTTTAAATGTTAACACAGATTAATAAGTAGAATATTGTGTTCATTTGTGCTAATTATTTCCTCAGAAGGCATCCATCCTATTTAGGCAATTACACAGCCTTAAGTCTTCATTTCTTACCGGTACTACCAAGGGACTTCATCTGCTAGTTCAGGTTTCCGACTGTTCATGTGTTTTTAATAACATAGATTTAGTTTGAAAGATGCACTTGAGCTGTTTCCATGTGAATATTCCACACTTACTGTGAAATGCATTTAATCTAAATTTAAACTGTAGCTATAGTAACCAACATTCACTGTGTTTCAGGAAGGCACATATAAGCCTACTCAGACAGAAGGAAACATGTTGTGTTAATTATCATTCTATCAAAACACTAGAGTTTGTATTTTGGAAAATAATTATCAGAAATTATGAATTCCTACTACCAAGGTTTAGAAAGCAAGAGATTTGCAGGAATGTATTCTAATGTCTCTTACAAGCTGGTTTTGTGGGATTCAATGGAGATTTCCTAAGTCTTACCCAAATAGGGTTAGCATTTGAGTTTCAGGTAGATGATCAGATTTTTTTTTTTTACTGGAGCCAGTCAGTGATATATTCTGTAGATGATTTTGCAAAGAAAGGAAACATCATTTACACAGTAAAGTCCATATTAATCAAGGTGAGTAAGGACATGTCCTTGTTTCATTCCTCTGACCATAGAACTCTAAATGTCGTCTGATTTTTGAACAACTTAAATCAGAGAGTGAATCTGTCCCCAGCATGCTTTTCCCAGACTCCCTTGTCTTTTAAGAGGCTGTGCTGTTCTGCTGGTGTAGGACAGCCAAGACTCCTCAAACCCAGTCCCAGTTTGCCAGAAAATTGCTATCTGGCTGAAGAAGTGCCCTCTCCTTTTCAATGTATGAAATATGCTTTAAATGTTTACTTTAGGTATAGCAAGCTGCCAAAGGTCTTGGGAGAGCAGGTATCAAATGTTTCATACAAAATTCTGCTATAATAAACGTGTGCTTCTTCATTTGTGTTTTCTTTTCCCCAGAGTTGAAAGAAAGGAGCGTGCACGTTTGAAGACGGTGAAATTCAACGCAAAACCCGGTGTAATTGATGCAAAAGGGGTACGTAAATAGTGAAACCTTTTGAAATTGTGCTTTACAATTGTTTTATCCAGAGTAGAAAAAATTTTAGCAACATAAGAAATACTTAGGTTTTTGCAACCAAGACCTGCAGCATAGTGAAATGTAGATCAGAGATTAGTATTATATAATCTTTGAAATAATTAAATATTCTTTTTATAATAATACTGAATGACAGTACTTCCTAAGGGGAAGATACTAAGAAAATAAAGAGGATTCCGTGATAGCTGTGATTTTAGTTAAATGATGGATAAAGAAAAGACTTTAAACATGAATGCAGATGGATAGCAGTTTAATGAAACAGGACCAGAAGCGTAAATTCCTTGGCTTCAAAAGCTTCAAAAGGTAAATCACAAACCAAAGGCTGTAAGTTAAGGAGTCCTGGACAGAAAAAAACAGGTTTTGGGTGTTCTGCTTTGACAGTTGTGACAGACATTGAACACAGGTGTGTTTCACCCCAGACACAGTGGCCAAACACAAAACGTGCAAGTTCTGTTCCACCAGCACTGCCTGGACAGAACAGCATTCCTGCTGTTGCCGCTTCACAGAGCTGCTTTATTGTGCCCAAGTCAGCAGTTCTCGTTAGCCTGATGGCTACTATCCTGTCTGGTGCCATCTGGCTGGCAAGTATTACAGCATGACAAATGCCCACAGTCCTGGCTGTTAAGGTATATTTTTCTGCTGAAGTGTAGCTTGCAGTTGTAGCAGTAGTGAATACTTGACATTTGCAGGGATTTATTTTTGAAACCCATCCAGTTGGCATGTTTGGAATTTACAAATGAGGGCTTCTGTGAGCAAACTAGGAGACAGAGATTCAGCAGCCATGAGGGAAAAGTCCTGCTTGGCTGCAGAAAACAGAGCAGGGCCAAAACTGTTTGATGAGTGGACATGGCCATAGGTAGGAGCTAGCAAGGGAAATAACTAAGTGGCTCAGCAGGTCCCTTCCAGACCTGTTGTTCCTGTGGTCTTCTGCCTAGTTTGAAATTCTCATTCTTAATCTCTTCTTCCTTCAGTTTCCCTCCGTAATGGTAATACTAATAATTCCCTTATTCTGTCCTTTCAGACAGATTAGCAGGGTAAGAAATTCCTCTTCCTGTGGACACACAGTTTCTAGAACAGGGGTTCCCAAGTCTCTACATGCCAGCAAAACAGTATTTCACACTTGCAAATACTTCCCTGTTACTGCTCTACCAAACAATTCCTGAATTCAGTGCAAATGCAGAATATTGTACTGACTGAAGCAAGTTTTTCAGACTTATATAGGCACATGGAACTCTACATTATTTGCACTTGCAGATAACTCAGTAAAATATATATAATAAAATACACTAAGAAAAGATTGATTCATCTCATAGCATTTCTTCAGAAGACAGAATTCCATTTTTTTGTTTGAGATGACCACTCTCTGCAACCCTGTATATTAATGTTGCCACTTATTTTGAGAGATAAGTTTTATATTGCCAATGAAATCACTTCTTAAATGTCTTTTTCCCATATATAATCAAAGCTGCAGGGGAATAATTCTTTCATATAACTAATGTTCCCTTTTCAAGTGATTCTGTCAAGAACTTAATTATCTCTTGATTCCCCAAATTGTTTTTCCATTTTTGTCATCAGTGTAACATTAATCTTCCAGCCACTCAACATCAGTGTTTGATTCAGTGTTTAGGAAATTGTGTAATTACATAGCAATACCACTGTAGCCTTCTGGGACCAGACCTTCCACATGAAGTGAGATATTTGAGTACACACATATATGTGGATATTAGGTCTTTCAGTGTCCAAAAAGAAGTGGTGTAAAATGTCTAAGAGTCCATGCTTTACTTTTTTTACTTTTTTTTTTTTTTTTTCCAACTTTGGAAAAAAAACCAGGAAAACAGGGCTGCAGTAGTCCCAGGAAAATGCTTTTGTTTCAAAGTCAAGCTGAAATTCAGATAGGCATGAGCTTATGTGGGTCTGTGGCACCTTTGGCTCATACATTCATGACTGTGCAGACAAATGTAAAGGTCTTAGTTTACTCTGAAGATGAAACTGAGAGAAATCTTTTCATGGAATATTTCTATATTTGGCAAGGAGATGTGCATGGAAGCATTTAAAAAAACTTTAAAAAAAAAAACAAAAAAAACCCAAAAAAAACCCCAAAACCAGAACCTTAACTGAATACAGAGAATCCTTGGGGGTTTTGAACAGGTAAATGTGTACCTTATTGCAATTTTACCTGAATCATCTCATTAGCCCTGACTCCTTCCTTCCCCTGTAGAAACAATGTTCAAGAGTTAATAACCCACAGCAAAGGTTTCGTAATAATACCAGAATTTCTTTGGGATAACTATGATTTTAAAGTAGAAACTGTCTAGTTATTCTATGCGTTTATAAAGTCTTACGCATTTTCATCTGTTTATACCTCATTTTTAATCCCATATCTGGAGATAAGATGCAAAGTGTTACAGATAGGGTGACATTTCTATTTGATCAGCTCCTTGTGTCTCACTGAAGAAGTGTTTAAGAATACTCAGCAATATAGTTGACAAACCTTTTTGTAGGAAGAGCTAAAGGATAGTCTTTCCAAAGACCCAAAGTTCCTCTTTTTCAGGCCAAACTTGTGTGTTGCTTCATCTATGTAATTTGTTCAGTACTTTTTAAAAATGTGATTTAGAATATTTATATGACTTTAGATTTGTTTCATTGGACTCCTCCAATCCATGCCTTGTGAAATTAAAGTCTACAAAATCAGGATGGATACAGAAACAGGGAATGTGAATCAAAATTAGGGAGCTCTAGGGAAACCTTCTCATCTCAAGTTTAAATAAGGCCACAAATAGTACCTTCCTGTGCAATTCATAATTAAATTCCCATGCTCATTATTACAGGATATTGCATAAAAAATAAGTAAGTTGGAAAGAATTTAGGTAGGTTAGAAAGTAGACAAACTAATTACAACTTTAAAACTTTCATCATGTCATTCAGAACATATTAATTGTTGATTTTAAGAAGAGATGTTATAGAAGGGAAAGGATCATATTACTTCCACTTTTCCTTTTAAACATGTGTTATTGGACAGTGCCAAAAAGCTACTTGGCTAACTGGATCTCTGGCTTAACCCATTAGGGCTACTTTTCTTTCATGTTCTATTTATTCTGACCCAAAGAAATTTTATTTGTTCAGGCTCAGAGACATCACCAAGATCCAGGCCCCATTAACACTTCTAAAGATATCAGACCAGTTTGAGATGGTAACATCTATGTAGTAAGGAAAAGAATACAAATACAGGTTTAAACAGCTTTCCTTCACCGAGCACAGATTGTGCTTCTATTGTGTTGACCAAGTTCAGCCTCTATCTTCATTCTTATAACTGTTGTAGTAAACTTCAGCATTTTTTTTAATGGTTACTGAAGGTGGCTGATGCATCAAATCCACCACTACACTGCTTTGGCCCTACAGCCACTCTCTGCTGCAGCAAAGGACAGGGTTTCCAGGACACTGGAAACATTAAAAATAAAAATAATAAAAATAAAAAAATAAATTAAGATAACACAGTTATGATTTCCTAAGCATTTGCTTTCTCAGTCTTTGGGGCTCACTGGTCTATGGATAATCAATGGGAAATGAAGCAGCCCAAAGGTTTATGTCTAATATTTTTGCTGGAGGAAGCTAAAGAAGTTATGTAAGCACAAACTTGATTAAAAAGTATGTTTTATGCTATGTTGAACTCAAGATCATATCCCAAGTATCGTCTGATGCTCACCTTTGCACCAAAAGGAGCAGAGCATGTGAGTAGCTGTGAACAGGGTTATGTATCTACCAAAACAGCATACCGAATTCTTGGTAACTCACTCTATCACAGGCTTCAGACTGAACAAAAATAGCATTTCATTTTCTAATCCTAAAACCCACAGTTGTTGAGGGCTTTTCAGATTTTTTAGTGAATCAAACAAAGTGTCAAGTGACAGAAATATTGCAGGGGGGAAATAGAGATTAGCCAGTAATCTGCTTTTTTCTTAACGGTTGTAATTACAACAGGTCTTTCAGGAGACAAAAATAGCACCTTTTGCTTTTCTCTCTGTCAGATCACATACACTTCCTTAACTGTCTCTTCAAAATATTCTGCAGTTGAAATCATAGCTCTTGGAAAGGTGTTTTAGAAACACCTCAGTTTTTCTAATATTTATGGGTGTTGTCTGTTTCCAGAGATGTGTTGAAATATCAAGAAACATGTAGCTAAAACTTAATTTTATACAGAGAACTGGTTTTTTATACCACATTCATTTCACTCCTTATCTGGCCAGTGACTCCAGAATATTGCTTTATGTACAAATACTCTATTTCATTTCCCAATGAAACAAAAATGATGTCTCCCACAATCCCATTTTTAATGTGTGTGTCAGGGTGTGGGGAGCTATTCAGCGCATGGGAAGCATTCCCAGATGGGTGCCTGCCCTAGTGAGGCTCAGCAGGGTGCTGAACAGGGATAAGGTGCCTGCCAAGAAAAGGGACTGCCCCATCCCTCCAAAACCGCTTCCAGCTCTGCTGCTCATCAGCAGTGCAGGTCCTGGGCTGTGACCCACACCACACTGCTCCATCACTACCCATTAGGGTTTTTTTCTGTTCACTTAGCTTGTCAGCCACAGTTCTTTTCAGATTCCAGTCAGATCACCTACATCACACGCAGCTGGCCTCTTCAGTTGCCTCCAAATGAGTTTATTATGGCCGTCAGAAGTTTGATTACATTTAATAATATTTCTTATGTGCAGATTCTGTTTACAGATCCCAGATGCCTGAAATGTAGGGTCATATTCTTGCTTTATTGTCATTTTAGCAACATTGCACTGAGGCATGAAGGGAAAAAGCAAAACCTGACTGAGATAGCAAATTTGGTATTGTGGGTAAACAAAACCCTCTGCATATTTAATGCACCTCTCCTCCAAGTGTCAAAAATCCAGTGACAGACAGAACTTAATACAGAGGACACCTTTTGACAGTTT